AAAAGGGTTTTCTTAGTATAGAATGTCAGCTATTGCTTTGCCCCAGAACTTAGTGGTTAAGAGAGCCAATCTCACATGGCTGACTGTAATCTCAATCCTGCCCTGGCAGCTTGAAAAACACAATGGGAGAATGTGCATCTGACCCCCAAATCCCAAAAAGATGGAGAAGAAGGGACTGTAGCATGACCACATCCCTCTGGGGGAGGGGGTGCTTTCTTCATCCTTCAGTAAGAACACATGACCTCTGACGATTGTTTTTTTTTAAAGAATGTCACCTAATAAAAAAAGTAGAAGGAATGATTAGACTGGAAAAATCACCATTTGGCAATCAGGAAAGGGACAATTAATTCAGCCAAGAAATATCACTGGATGCTAAAATTAGTGTGTGAAAGTTTGCAAAGAAACAGAATACCCACGTCTCAGAATATCTCACTACAAAATGCTTACTAATGGAAAAAAAGAGAAACTGTACAGTGGCGAAATCTGGTAGATACTACTTAAAACAAGTGATCAAAACATCCCTGTAATGGGACAACTGATCCTATATGATACGATACACTGAAAAGAATACTTGTCACTTGTGCAATATTTTTGCCAAAAATGTATAAGCTCAGTCCAATTGTGAGGAAATACCAGAAAAACGCAACAGCCAGAAACATTTTATAAAATAAGTGGTCTTTATGTTTCATGACCTAGACTTCTTTTTTTTTTTTTTTTAAGGCAGGGTCTGACTCTGTCACAATCCTCTTGCCTCAGCCTCTCAACTAGCTGGGGCTCCAGACACATGCCACTGTGCCTAGCTAGTCCTTGATATTTTGAACAACTGGTTGAAGAACTGTCTTAAAGGAGACTAGTGGCCTGACAACAAAATGTAATGTTTTCCTGGATTGGATCCTAGCTCAGATTTTTTTCCTACAAAGAGCATTACAGAAATAATTATGAAATATGGAAAATATTATAGTATTATATTGTTAATTTTCTTAGTTTTTAATGCCAGAGAGTGCATGTGAGCACCAGAGAAAAGGGGGTAGGGGGAGAAAGTAAGTCCCCATCTCCCATGGGACCTTGTCATACTGCAACCCCCTTTTCTACATTCCTCCACCCGGTCATGGTGCTAGGCATGCATCCACATGTACTTATCAAGTTTTCAAGACATCAGGTCAGGATTCAAACTGTGGTGGCCATGTGGGTTTCAACTTTCCTCCACATAGTGTTTAACCACTACGTTATAGGGCCGACCCAATATTCATTTTCTAATTTTGATAACTGTGCTATGGTTATGTAGGGGACCAGTAGTTGGTGTAATGGCTGTGTCACTGGACTCCCATGTAGTTGACCGTGGTTTGATTCCCAGGCCTGGTGGCTTAAATTCACACTGGGTGTGTGCGCGTACATGCCCAAGATCCCGAGAGGAGAATGGAGAAAGGATTGCGGCATGGCCATCCCCCTGGGCTGGGGGCGGGGATGTGATTTCTTGCTTTCTGTCTCTCTGTCTTTCTGGGGCACGCATGCACCCTATAGCAAAAACCTCTCAAAAAAAAAAAAAAAAGTCCATGTTCTTGAGAAATACAAACCTAAGTATTTGGGTTAAAGAAGCTCACATCTGTAATAAACACTCAAACAGTTCAGAAAAAGAATATTTATTCTAACCTGATAATAGATCAATAAAGGGAAACCTCTTCTTTACAGGAGAATGACAATTAGTTAATACAGAAAGAAAAACAGAATTAGAAAAATCATAATTTTGCAAACTTCCCAGCAAAAACGTATTCCGACATGAATCAAAGGATGCTAATTCTAGGAGGGCAGGTTTGATGAGAAAAGAATTACCAGTAAGGTTGCAAAGTTTCTTCTTGCAAATCACTCACTAATGGCAAAAGGAAAAACATTTCACTATACAATGGAAAAACAACATCTTACTCAACTGATAAGAATTATTATTACTAATACATTCTGTGGACCTACACGTGATACCTGGAAGACATATCACTTATAGTATTCTGAACTATACTGAAGCATTCAAATATAAACTTGAGAAGATAACAGAAAAATCCAAACTGAGGGTTTCCTTGGCTGTCCTACATTTTAAAAATATATCAATATTACAAAACACAGATTGAGGAATTATTAGATAAGAGAGTCATGACAATATAGTTTACAATCCTAAACTTGATCCTGGAGCTGAAAGAATACTACTAATAAAACAACAAATGAAATTGGAATATGGACTCTAAATTAGAGGAAAGCTTTTTATTATACCAATGTTAAATTCTTAAATTTGGTAACTGTACTTAGGTAAGATAGTATGCTTGTTTTTATGAAGTAAATATGTTGTATTAAAAGATAAAGGGTATGGGACCAGTCAGTGGCTCAGTGGTATGACTACTGGACTCACATGGTAAAGGTCCTGAGTTTGTGTCCTGGGACCTCCCTTGGACATGTACGTGCCTTGTGCTCTGGGTTGGTTAACAATGGGAGTAGACTGTGGCATAGAGATGCTATTGGGGTTGCTTGTCTGTCTCATTCAGGAAAGAAATAAACTTTAAAAAAGGACAGAACATTTTTTTTCTTGAGTTTTGCTATAGTGTGTGTGCTCACCAGAGAGACAGAGAGACAGAAAGCAAGAAATTACTCCCCAGGGGTGATGGCCATGCTGCAATCCCTTCTCCTCCATTCTCCTCTAGAGATTTTGGGCATGCATGCACATACCCAAAATGAGTTTTAAGCCACCGGGTCTGGAAGTGTGAGTTTTAAGCCACTGGGTCTGGAAGTCCAACGGTGGGCAACTATGTAGGAGTCCAGTGATATAACCATTACACCATCTGCTGGTCCCAAGGATAAAACACTTAAAAGGATAAAGGATATGATGTCTACAACATATTCTCAAATGAGTCAAGAAAAAACATGTATCAAGAGAAAATGATAAAGCAAACATGAAAAATTTAAAAGAAGTCAAAGTGCAGAAAAATGCATACATTTTTTCTTCTACTTAGTATTCCCCAAAAGTGTGTATGTGTGTGTATGTAAGTAAACTTATTGATAGAATACTAAAATTATTTGTACTCCCCACACTCTCCAAAGGAAATAGGAGATAAAAGGTATTAGAAGGTTAGTATAAAGATAGAAAGGGTTAAGTGACTCTATTCTCCACCTTTAGATTTACTCCTGAGAAAAACAGTAATAGTGTCCAATGTTTTTCATATGTACAGTACAAGTTTGTGCACACATATGCAATACTCCTATCATTTTAATGGCTCTATATTCTAAGGAATGAATATATAAAATTTACTTGTTTTTAGTATTTTTAAAAATATAATGAGATTTTTTAAAAATTGGATATTTCATCACTTTACATTTAATTTGATAAAAGTTATGTTTGCCCTTAATTGTGTCATTCTTTTTGTTACAATTTCGGTTTTCATGCCTTCCTTCTAAAAAAAAATCTTAAGTTTAAGCTTTGTTGTGGGATTTTCTTTCTCATATAGTAACTATACTCAATTTGTGAGTTCTATCAACATCATTCAGATAATATGAAGACTTATAATACTTATTTTCTGTTCTGAGGTACACTATTATGAAAAGCCTTCATAGGAGAACCTGAGTGTGGCCACTGGATCCATTTGTGGAAGGAGGTTACTCAAGGTATGAATATAAAATGTGAGTTGTACAAGTCCAGATCCCAGATGATTTTTGAGAAATACACTTTTCTCAAAATCAACCAACCCAGTTTTTAATGGATTGCAGATATTCTCCAACAGGAATCCTGTTATAAGTCATTTGTTTTATGGTTTCAATTAAAAAAAAAGATTAAAGCATGAGAGGGGAATCCTGTTATAAGTCATTTATTTTATGATGTCAATTAAAAATAAGAAATTGATTAAAGCATGAGAGGGGAATCCTGTTATAAGTCATTTGTTTTATGATGTCAATTAAAAATTAAAAATTGATTAAAGCGCGAGGGTATTTCCTGTCCTCAAAGATATTAGTTTATTTTGCATCGTCACTGTAATCTTTCCAGATATGAATAAATAACAACGTATCCTAAAAAAACACTATTTGAAAAGCTTCAGTTGTTAAAACTTTACATACTTTTCATAGTAATTTTAAGACAAAAAATGCCCTTTCTATACCTTATATAACATTATATTCCCTATTATACACAGTTTACAGTCATATATATTTATACATACAGTGGTTGGAAGCAGGACACTTTTTTTGTCTCCCATAGTAGGTTGCAGTTTTACAAGCAGAAGTTCTGAACCTCTAAAGACAATGCAAGAAAAATCTTCATGTGAAACCTCAAAAGTAGTTTTTCAGTAGTCTACATTATTAAAAAAAAAAAAAAAGAGTCAAGATATTTGTTTGTACTATTTATTTCTTTTGGAGGAGGAGGTTAAACATTTGTTTGTTTATTTATTTGTGCTCCAAAGAACTTTCCCAAAGAGCAGAGATTTATTTTCATTACATGTCAACATGGACAATGTTCTAACTTTATGACAATTTAAATTCAAGGTAATATATACAATATGTGTTTTTCTGAAATTTAGTGTGTTTATTTGGGCATATGGGTGTTCCTTGTGTTCTTGCTCACACATGAAAGAAACTGGCACTTGGGCTTCATGGGCAAATTTTTAAAATTACAAATCAATCCAGCTTGTCTTTGATATGGGCTTGAGCTAACAGTTAAGAAATCATTCAATAATAATGGCCTCAAACATGTAAAAAGCCTATGAAACTGCAACTAATGAAGGGACTATTGATTCTAAGAATAAGCACGGAAATGAGGTTAGAATGTTAAGTGTGGATGTCAAAGTTCAATATTCTCCTCATTTTTGTAGCATGTATAAAGTAGAAAGAGAGAATAAGAATTATATGAATAACATAAAATAAGAAGTGCATACAGAACTGGGAAATATTTTTCATTGCAATTGCCACTTATTTCAATTCCAATAGAAGCTAGTAAGGAAAATAACCACTTAAGGTGGAAGATTAACTACATTGTGGCTGTTCGAACTTCTGGTGAGCAAAAGAATGAATGTAATCAACTTCCCTGGTTTATACTTAATTATTTATCTTACAACATGCTATTTTGTAAGCTTCTGTGTCATGCTTTGAAAATTCAAAGCCGAAAATAAAATCATAAAGAAAGCGAGAAATTCTATGTACACATCTAGACAGATGTTTGCTTGTAGTTTTTGGTATCCAAAACCTTTTTCCCACACATTGCGCAGATACCTGAAATAAAAGAAAACATGTACGATCGAATCATAATACTGTTTGGTTTATCTAAGTCAATCTGGAAGCTTACAATATAAGTTTAAAAGCATCAGAAACAAGAAAAAGAAAATACACTTTTAACTATGAACAAGTTTTAAATTTCATTGTGCCTTAGGAAAAACAAAGTATTTGACCAATAGAGTTTATGAAAGACCCTTTCTTTCTTTCTTTTTTTTTTTTTTTTGAGAGGTTTTTCCTATAGGGTGCATGTGCTCGCCAGAAAGACAGAGACAGAGAGACAGAAAGCGAGAAATCATCCCCCATAGGGGATGGCCACACTGCAATCCCTTCTCCTCCATTCTCCTCTCGGGATCTTGGGCACGAACGCACACATGCCCAGAGGGAATTTAAGCCACTGCGTCTGGGACTCAAACCGCGGTTGGCTACATGGGAGTCCAGCAACATAGCCATTACGCCAATTGCTGGTTCCATGAAAGGCCCTTTCTATTCTCCAAATCAGCAGTAATGAAGTAGATTTGATATGAATAGAAAAATGATATTAAGAAAAGCTTACCCTTTTTGTAGGCACAGCCCTGGCAGTAATGAGAACCCGGTTGGTGCACAGAACTTTTACAAATTCTGCAAGTAGAGAACTTGTTCTTTCCATATGGGTCGAATCTAGAGACATTTTTATTTTTTTAAAGAAAGAGAAATGTACATGTTGAATATCCCTTATCTGAAATGTTTGAGACCAGAGTGTTTTGGATTTGCGATTTTAAAATATTTACATATACACAATGAGGTATCTTGGGGATAGGACCCAAGTCTTAAACAAGATTTATTTAAATTTCTTATACACCTCATACACAAGACTTGAGGGTAATTTTATACAATATTCTTATACTGTAGCATTTTGACCACAACCTATTACTTGAGGTCAGATATAAAACATTCCACTGGTGGCATCATGTTAGCTTAGCTTGCTTATAGTCACAGGGCTAGACAGTGAGAGTCTAGATTCAAATTTTTTTTTATAATTATTTAATTTAATTTTATTCATCAGCATTATTATTATTTTAATTTGACCAGAGAGATACAGAGATAGAGAGGGAAAGTAAGAAAGCAAGCTGCCAGGTCCAGGACTCAAACTGTGGTCAGCCATGTTGTAGGAGTCTAGCCCCTCAATCACCATGCCACCTGCCAGTCCCTAGATTCAAATTTAAGTCTGACTCTAAAGCTTATGATCTTTTCACATTTCTCTGTTGCCTCTGATTTGTAGAATAATTAAGAAATAAATAATATAAAAATCATGTTTCCTAGTGAAATTAGAAAAAAAAAATAGAATAGTATTATTTTCATATATTGATAACATTGGGAGAAACAGAGAAATCAGCAAATTATAATAGATAACATGGCTAAAAACTATTTAACCTACTTAACTTGGTTTTATCACAATAAAATCATGCAAATTGAATTCACTCCAATAGGCTTAATAGTAAAATATGCCAATTTATGTGATTACTCTTCTGGATACTCTTACTCACCTTGCTTTTTTTGAAGTCAAAGCTTTATTTTCATTCAGCTTTCTTCCACCACTTTCTGTACACAAAGATATGTAAATTTTAGTGAATTATTTCTATGCATCTAATATATAACATTTAACAATGAGCTAAAAGGTTGTTTTTTTTTGGTGATAGGGCGCGTACGCTCTCCAGACAGAGAGACAGAAAGCGAGAAATCACCCCCCAGGGGGGAGGGCTACGCCGCAATCCCTTCTCCTCCATTCTCCTCTCAGGATCTTGGGCATGCACGCACACGTGCCCGGTGTGAGTTTTAAGCCACCGGGTCCGGGACGCGAACCGCGGTCGACTACATGGGAGTCCAGAGACATAGCCATTACGCTAACTGCTGGTCCCTAAAAGGTTATTTTGAGGGGACCAGCAGGTGGCTTAGTGGTTAAGGTGCTAGACTCCCATATGGTTGACAGCAGTTCGAAACCCGGACATGGCAGAAAATCATGGTAGGCACCTGTGCATGCATGCCCAAAATCCTAGGAGGAGAGTGAAGGAGTGGGGACTATGGTGTGACCATACCTTCTTGTCAGGGGTTTTATTTCTATTTCCCTCTCATTGTCTCTATCTCTCCGGCAAGTGTACAAGTCCTATAGCAAAAACCTTAAAAAAAAGTCATCTTTTTGACCCTCTTACCAATAAAATAACCTATTATTTGAACTTCTAAAATCCTCACCTAATAAATTCTTAAGACATTAATTAAAAAGAAAACATTTATTAGGGAAACAATAAAAATTTGTATAAAATACAATCATTTTACTTCCCAGACTCATAGTAGTACTTCATGAATAGCTCTACATTTGTTCTCTCTCTCTTTTTTTAAAGAATTATTTTATTTAACTTACTTCTTATAATTTGACCAGAGAGGGACAGAGCAAGAGAGAGAGAGGGAAAGTAAAAAAGCAAGCCGCCTGGTCTAGGACTCAAACCGCGGTCAGCCATGTGGCAGTCCAACGCCCTTAACCACCATGCCTCTTGCTGGCCCCTCTACATTATTTCTACTGTAACATCTAGAAGCCATTATTCTAGTGTCATAGACCTTGACTATAGTGAAAGTGTTCCCTTTCTTTCCCTTTGGAAACATACTTCACTGTAACTCTTCAATGATAATTATATATTTCACTGTAAGTAAATGATAATGAAGGTGAAAATAATTCAAATAATTTGCTCATGAACATAAAACAGGTGAAGAGATAGGAAATCAAATACAGAGTCTAAGCTGAATCCAATCAATTACTATGACACAGTTAACACTTGAAAAATTGTTAATAATTTTGCTCTCTCTTCTATATTAGGAATGTGTACATGTAACTGAGACAACTAAATAGAAGACATTAAATCACTGAGGAAATAGTCTTCTTTAATTTTTAACAGATGAAATGCTCCAAACATGTAACATTTCATTTTATGATAATATAAATGCTAAAACATTATTCATGGGAAGTATTTGATTCAATTTCTACTTTTTAAAAGAAAAACTACCTGTGGTGTTCCTTGCACCATCTTTCCAAGTATCTGGAGTGATAACAGTACCAAGTTTCTTTTCACCTATTATAACAAGAAAGTAAAATAAAAATTAGAACTACTGTATAATAAATCCACTACATTATGCCCAAGGTTCACAGCAGTATCAAGAATCATATTACAGCAGAATGCTGGGGTAAAGGCCACTGGACTGAGACTCGAGATACTGTGAGATTTGTATATCAGACCTCAGTAAAATTTGTAAGGTAATAAGGTGGTTTATAATAGGTTTGCAGTTTGTTTATACTTTAAATAAATCTGACAAATCTATTCATCCCATAAATATTTACTAAGTATTTATGATATATAAACTACTACACAAAGTGCTAAAAAGAATAAAGCAACGAATTAGACAAAGCTCTAGATTTTGAGATTACAGTACAATAGTTTCTGTAACAGCACAGAACCTGGGCTCCATAGGTGGACCTTACGAGTTAAATGAAAAAGGTGGAGTTGTTATACACAAACCTTTTATATATCTTATTTTTTTTCTAGTTAGCATCTATACTTTTCATTAGATTTTTAAAGGGATCAGAGACCCCTAAAAAAGTTAAGAGTCAATCAACGAAAATATAAACCAAAATAAAAAGTATAACAACTGAAAGCTAAAATAAATTGAGAGTTAAAGTGCTAGGAGAAATTCCATGCAGGAAGAAATAATCCTGGCTAGGAAAACCCAGGAAAGCTTGGTGGAGAAGGCAAATGAGAAGACTGGAAATGTGTGGCACTTGGACTGTGGAAAAAAGGAGAAAAAGAGGATGAAGGCAAATTCACTAAAGGACGTATCCTGAAGAGAGGCATGGAAAACTTAGGGTACACTAGGTATACAAGGTAGTCTGGTTCGGTTAAAGTTGAGAAAAGGGTAAAGGTCAATGAAGATGAAGTTGAAAAGATAACCTAAAGCTTACTGAGTAGGTTTCTGGGTGACAGGCTCCAGATATGGAAACCCCAAATTACCCTCTGCACATTGAGAATTTCTTTTAGAATCTAAATTAGGAAAATGGTAAGTTCCACTTGTGTTTAGGTTCAATTCAAACATTGCTCAGACTTACTTTAAGCCACATCTTGGCATAATGACGACTAAGAATGGATAAGACAAGGAGTTCCTTAGCCCTAGGTGCTAGTGTCTAGCATTTGCTAAGAGTATAATACTTGTTGCATGAATGAATAAAAAATGTGAGAAAAAGCAAGAGGGAAAGATGGAGTTTAACTGAGCATTTTTATATGTAAGGAGAGCTGACTAAAGATTCCAGTAAGGGACCAGGAGATGGCATAACAGTTACATCACTGGACTCCCACGTAGTCGACCATAGTTTGGGTCCCGGACCTGGTGACTTAAAACTTGCTGGGTGCCTGTGCGTACATGCCCAAAATCCTGAGAGGAGACTGGAGGAGAAGGGGTTGTGGCATGGTCATCCTCCCAGGGGGATGACACTTTCTGTCTCTGTCTCTCCACGAGTGCACATGTTCTATAGCAAAAATCTCTTTAAAAAAAATTTAAATAAAAATAAAAGTTAAAAAATAAAAGATTCCAGAGGAGACAGAGACAGATAAAGGACCTGGAAGAGATAAGGGGTGGCAACAAAGCACATGAGTAGAAGTGACCTTGGAAAAAGAAAGGGAAAGAAGATGGACATGAATATAGGTATGTTTATAGATACAGTAAAAGTAAGAAGTTGAGAATGTTCCCATTTGATAACCTCACTTTTAAAAACATCCATTAGAAAGTGTTTTCCAATGGAGAACAAAGTAGATGACAAAGGGGGACATTTAAGGAAATGGAGGGTTTTATTTTATTTTATTTTTTTTCTGATTTGGGCCTGCCTGCTCCACAGCATGACCCCAGGGTTTGATAAAGGTGAGGAGCACTGTGACCGCATGGGGGCCGAATTTTTTTTTCTTCTTTATTTATTTTTTACATTAATTCACTATACATCATTACAGCATACAAATGAATTTTCCATCCAAAATACACTGTATATTGGCTCAATCAAGCACATCAACATACATGTTATCAGCCAATAATTTTCCAATTCTTATGTCTTGTATACTTTGTTTTTTTATTTTGCCATCCTTGATTCCCTATCCCTCACTCTCTGCCATGTCCCACCCTCCTCCCACATTGTCTCTGGTATCCATGGTTGCTTTCTATGCCTTTCCCCTTCCATTTAATTGATTTGCTAATGAACTTAATTAGTCTAAATATTTCCAATAGCTAGCACAGCTGATATATACCTATACATGAACCCAAGTCTGACTTTAGGCATAAACCTCAGTGAGTAGAATGAACATACTATAAAGTAGTAGCTGGGGCTATATAGCTTACTGCAGTCATCAAATATGCATTCTTTTTTAAATTTTGATACGAACAGTTTTACTGTTTTTTTTTTCCTCCTGAAACTTTTTTTTTTAATTACTTAACATTCATTTCCTGAGCATCATCACAACATACTAAATGTGGTTTCCCATCTAGAATAAACTGCATAGTGGCTTAAATGCATGTTATCATCAATAATATAGGAAATGGAGGGCTTTAAACAGTCACTAAGAAGTAAGCTAACTAAAGCTAAGTAAACATACTGAAGAATAGTATTAAAGAGCTCAGAGATTAGAAACTGAATTTCCTAATCAGTTTTCTTAATCACAACATTTTCTAATCAGAATCATAAATTATGGTACTAATTAGTTCATTTGTATAATTTCCCACAGAATTCATCACTTGAATAGTTTAGAGAGGAGAGCCTAGAGGCAGGGAGAGCAGTCTGAGGGGGCTGGGAGATATTGGGGGATTGTATTAGTTCAACTCGGTGAAAAGGACCTCAACTAGGGTCCTGCAGCAAGAAAGGAGAGGTTGGGGAAGTAAAATAAGTAGGACTGCCTGGATGAAGGTGTACAAAGGCTAGAATGAATGAGAGATGATTGAGGCTTTTAGAAAAAGTAACTGGGAGGGGGACCAACAGAGAGCATAATGTTTATATCGCTGGACTCCCATGTAGTTGGCTACGATTCCAGTCCTGGACCTCGTGGCTTAAAACTCATGCCTGATATGTGTGCATGTGTGCCCAAAATCCTGACAGGAGAATAGAGAAGGGATTGCAGCATGGTCATCGCCCCGGAGGGTGATTTTCTGCTTTCTGTCTGTCTCTCTCTGTCTCTTTGGAAAGTGCATGTACCCTATAGCAAAAGTCTCTCTCTCAAAAAAAAAAAAAAAAATAAAATAAAATAAAAGAAAGTAATTAAGTGACTGGGAGGATTTTTTTTTAGCTTTTTGATATAGGGTGCATACACTCACTAGAGACAGAGAGAGAGAGAGGGGAAGCAAAAAATTACCACCCAAGAGGGATAATGGCTATGCTGCAAGAGTCAGAACTGGAACCTCTCCAATTAAAAAAAAAAAAAAAAGATGAAAAAGAAAAGGAGAAACTCCTCTTCATAAATCTGAACCCAAATCCCTCCTGTGGATACCACGTTCCAAAACACAGTAGAAGGGATAAGTGGGCACAGAAATAACTCATGGTAAAGGGAAACATGATCTCACAGTTGCAGAAGCCTTCTGCAACAAATTAGCCAAAAGCGAATATATTACTGAATGACTAAAAATCAGAGAAAAGTCTCAAGGATGAGAGAACCAAGTATTACGTCTCCAACAAGGAAACGTAGTAACCTGTCTCCAAGTATAGAAAAATAAGAAAAAAAATATTGAAATGTCAGGAAAAATTTCAGAGTATTTATGATGACAATAGTCTATGAGATACAAGAAAAAAACAGACATCGAAATCCAGGAGATGAGGAAGTCCTTTCATGACTTGAAAAAGGAGATAGACAATATAAAGAAGAATCAAACAGAACTTCCAGTGTTGAAGGCTGTAATGCAGGAGAACAAAACTTCCCTTGAAAGTATTAAAACCAGATTAGATCATGCAGATGATCGAATCTCAGATCTAGAAGACAAAAATCTATGACCTACAAAAGATCATCAAGAAGAATGAAAAAATAACTCCCCCAAATGAGGATAATATATGGGAAATACTAGATACCATTAAACGCCCAAACATCTGAATAATTGGTATCCCAAAAGGTGAAGAATCTAATAAGGGGATTGATAAGCTATTCCATGAAATCCTGGAAGAAAATTTTCTAAACCTAGAGAAGTGTTCAAACATAAAAACCCAAGAAATACAAAGGACCCCAAACAGAATCAACCTATGAAGATCCTCTCCATGGCACATCATAGCCAGACTGGCCAATATCACTGATAAGATTAAGATTCTAAAAAAAACAGCAAAAGAGAAATGTCAAGCACTGACAAAGATTATCCCATCACGCTAATATAAAACCTCTCTGTGGAAACAATGCAAGCAAGAAAAGAATAGGAAGATGTATTCAAAGCATTAAAAGAAAAACAATTTCAACCAAGATTACTATATACGACGATATTAACCTTGAAATGAGAAGATATTCTCAGATAAACAAAGCCTGAAAGAATTTACCAACACCAAACCAGCTCTTCAAGAAGTTCTGAAGGGAGTGCTATACCAAGAAAACTGAAGTCAAACAGAAATAAGAGAATAAAAAACAACCAACAAAATGGCTAACATAATGGCAGGAACATAATGGCTGGAAATATCAATAATAATGTTGAATGTTAATGGATTAAATTCTATAGTCAATGGACCAACAGACGGTATAATGGATATGTCACTGGAATCCCACGTAGACAACCACAGTTCGAGTCCCAGACCCAGAGGCTTAAAGCTCATGCTAGGCACGTGTGCATGCGTGCCCCAAGACCCCAAGAGGAGAATGGAGAAGGGATTGTGGTGTGCCTCTCCCTCTGGGGGCAGTGATTTCTTGCTTCCTGTCTCTCTATCTCTGTCTCTCAGGTGAGTATACACACCCTATAGCAAAAATCTCTCTCATAAAAAAAAAAACAGTTAATTCTCCAGGCAAGACACAGATTGTCTAAATGGATTAAAAAAGACACCCTCTATCTGCTTCCTACAAGAAATGCACCTCATGGACAAAGGCATACATAGACTAAAAGTGAAGGGCTAGAAAAAGGTATTCCATGCAACCAGAAACCAAAAAAAAAAAAGGCTGGAGTCACAATACTGATTTCAGACAAAATAGGCTTTAAGACAAAAACTGTTAAGAAGAGACAGAGAAAGTCATTATATTGTAGTAAAATGGCTAATTCTTCATAAAATATAACGCTTATTAAGATCTATACACCCCGGACCAGCAGTTAGCGTAATGGCTATGTCGCTGGACTCCCACGTAGTTGACCGCGGTTTGCGTCCTAGACCTGGTGGCTTAAAACTCACGCTGGGCGCGTGTGCGTGTGCACCCAAGATCCCGAGAGGAGAATAGAGGAGAAGGGATTGCGGCGTGGCCATCCCCCCTGGGGGGTGATTTCTCGCTTTCTGTCTCTCTGTCTGGCGAGCGCACGCGCCCTATAGCAAAAACCTCTCCCCCCCCCAAAAAAAAATCTATACACCCAACTCAGGAGCACCCAAATACATGAAGGAAAGACTGCTAAATTTAAAAGGAGAGAAAGACTGCAACACACTAATTACCAGGGGAATCTCAACACTCCACTACCTCCTTTGGACAGATCATCTAGACAAAAAGATAAACAAAAAGAAACAGAATCTAAATGACACCATAAATCAAATGGACTTGACAGACATCTACAGAACCTTCCACCTCAAAACCACAAAATACACGTTTTTCTCATCCCACATGGAACCTTTTTGATGACTAACCACATGAGAGGGCACAAAAAAGTCTTTACAGATTTGAAGGCATAGAAACTATATCCAGAATCTACTCTGATGATGAAAGTGAGAAAGGGAATCAAGGAGAGAAATAAAGAGGCAAGACATTTATGGGACACAGAAATGGATGATTATCTGTTGATGATAATGTGTATGGTATCTTCAGCTGGACTGATGTGATGTATATTCATGTTGGGTAAATTCACTGTACAAGTTGTAGTGATGTATAGAGACTGAATATATAAAATAAAAAAAAACCTCACTGACACAGATGTGCTACTTGAAACCAACACAAAAGAGTCAAAAGGAGTTCTTCAAAACTCTTCAAAAAGAATCAAAAAAAATAAAAGGTCAAAGATCACTGGGAAACATCCACTTAAAGGGAGTAAAGAGAAATAAAGTTTGGAGAACATAATAGTAAAAAAGAACAAAGAGAAGTAAATTTATTAAAAAAAAAAAAAAAACGCTAGTCAGAGGATCAGTGCTACAGAGTAGAATAAGACTGAAAAAGGTTTTAGAATTTGGTATGTGGAAGATTTGTTCTGAACTTTAAAAGTTCTTTCAGCAGTGTGATTAAATAAAACTCAGTTTATAAAGTTCTAAGAAGTAATTGTATAAATCTGGAGCTGATGAACCTAGCCACATTTTTCAGAAAACTTATGCTGAAGAGAAAGAGAGAGACCAGCAGTTATTGTAATGGCTATGTCGCTGAACTCCCATGTAGTCGACAGTAGTTCAAGTCTCGGACCTGGTAGCTTAAACTCTCGCTGGGTGCATGTGTGTGCGTGCCCAAGATCCTGAGGGGAGAATGGAGAAGGGATTGTGGCGTGGCCACCCACGCTGGAGGGTGATTTCTCGCTTTCTGTCTTTCTCTGTCTCTCTGGCGAGAGCACGCACCCTATAGCAAAAACCTTTCAAAAAAAAAAAAAGAGAGAGCAAAGGTAATTGCTAGAGAGTGTGTCTTTATGTATAGCAGAGATGCAAGCTATTTACAGTGTGGGTGAAACGTCAACAGATTGGGGGATAAAAAAAACCTAAGAGTATATTTTTATTTGCACAATAAGACAGAGGAGGTCAGAAGAATCAAAGAAATAAAAAGAATTAGACTTTCGGAAGAGTAGAGAAATAAAAAACTGTACTAATAGGGAATGAACTTCTTTGACGACACTCATCATGCAACAGTACAAGTCTCTGTATTATTTTAATACGACATGGATTGTGGATTAAATTTTTATGTATCTTGGCAAATTTACTATCACAATTTGCCCAGTAGCCCTGTGACAAAGCATATATGGTGTAAGAAGCATTACCACAACCAGTAAAACTAGGCAGAATCCCTGTCTCTAATAGTTAAAATGTATAGGATTAACATAAGTTATAAAAGACCGAATTTACACATTTAAGAACTACACAACGTAAGAGAAAAATCTTAAGATAGATGCATAATTTAAAAACATTTCAGTCATGTTCACTTAAAAAACAACAAAAAAAACCTCCCAAAACCAAAACCCAAAAGACCAACTCCCAAACCGTTTTTAGTATAGGATAAAATAGGATTTTGATGTCAAAAGCTTAATGTGTTTTTTTGAATAATGAAAAGGTTCTAAAATTGACTGTGATCATGGATACACAGTTCTGTGAATATATTAAAAACCACTGAACTGTACATTTTAAGTAGGTAAACTATGTGCTTTTCAAAATACAAAGAGCTTGTAAAGTAAAAACAAAACAAACCCCATAAGATATGTTCTAGAAATCTCAAAGGGTTGCATTAGAATCACTGGGTGACAACTACAGGAAGGTAAGACTTCTCAAAAAGCCAGCAATGTTTACATAAACTTCTTTGGAAGTTATGAGACTCTCTCATTCCCTGCCCCAATATTGTAAGTATTTATGCAAAGCGTGCATAAGCCATTGGATGGGATGCTGATTGGGGTTACCAGATAAAATATAGGATTCCCAGCACAATTTAATAGTCAGATACACAATGGGTAATAATTTTTAGTAAGGTGTGTCCTAAATATCCAATGGGAAAAAGCACTTACTAAGGAGGAGCCAAGTCTCAAATACTGTATGGAACATACTTATACTAAAAGATTACTCGTTGTTCATGTGAAATCTAAATTCAACTTGGAGCCTGAAGTGTTTACTAGCTAAGTCTGACAACTCTAATGTTGTAGAAAATATTTTTAAGATTCATTTTAAACCTAGACCGGAGAATGTGCCAGTCAAGTAGCCGTATAGGATGAGATCCTGGGCCCGGGGAAGGTAACAATAATAAACGAAGCGTGCCTAACAGAGACCATGTGAATACAAAATATCAATATATGGGACTACAGTCACTGGGGAGGAACAAGAATGATCATAGGGCAGGGTAGGAGGACAGAAGCTAGAATCGGAGACCTGTGAGAAAAGGAAAAACAAAATGAAGGCAAAGGTCCCGGGGGTGTCCAGTTAGTTTCTCCCAGTCTCTTCACGCAGAGGCAGCCCCTATACTCACATTTTTCGCACACCATCCTTCCGCCGGCGATTCCCTTAGCTACAAAACCTGCAGCAGCTAGAAAACATCAACACTACAGCCTGTGAGAGATTCCCCTTCCGGCCTACGTCAGCCCACTTCCGGCTCTTAAGACTTCAGTCCCGCCTATCCTACACCTAGAAAGCCGCGGGAGTAAGAAAGGGGTACTGGTAGGCGGGGCTGCTTCATTTGCCCACCCCTTCCCTTCCTCGATTGGCTGTCGGCCATAGGTCTCCGCCCCATAAGTCTGCGCCTGCGTGAGGGCTACGGTAGCCTGTCGCACCTGAAGGTGGGAGGCGATAGCCTCTCCTCTTCCGCGGGCGGGAGAGTTAGGTAAGCCCCGCTGAGCACTCCCAGCACGATCGCCACCCGAGGGTGCAAGCCATTCCTGCCAACTGTCAAAGTGGCCGCGAGCCTCCGCGCCCATAGATCGGTCAAGCGCCACCCTTCCGGCGTGACCCAAAAGATGCCCAGGTGCACCGACCTTCCTTCAGATCCGAGTTTCTGTCACTCCCTGTTTTCTTTCGTCTCCGACACCTGTGCTCTTAGGTTATGCCTCTCTGCTCGCTTCTAGCTGCCCGCACTACAGCAGGCTGAGGGTGAGCAGAACCGGAGGGACCCAGTTTGGGATGGGGCTGCAGACGAAGATCGCGCTATTCCCACCAAGGCGCCTCAATTGTCCGCTAAGATGCCGGTGTGTCAGCCAGGTCAGGCCTGTGACGCCAAGACGGCGGCCTCGTGGGTACACCAGGGCCTAATCCAGGGCTGCTTTCTCAGGGAGGCCCACACTTTTTCTCTTCTAATTCCTTCATTGAGCGAGCATGTTGGTTTGGGTCTTGCTCCCTGTATTAGGTCTAGATACACTGAGGGCAGCAGGGATTCCAAGAGTGGTCCGGAAAACTATCCAAAGGGGTATCTTTTGAGAGTATGGACTCCTGTTTCCCTTGCTCACCTGCAGCTGAGGATAAGATATGTGAGAAATTTTTCCTTTGTCCCTTCTTGCCATCCATTCTCCTCCTATTCCCTGGTGTTTCTCTCCATGTGGGAAAAACTGGGCTTTAAGTTGCTTTGGTGCTTGGAACCTTGAATGTCTTCTAACCTGTTTATCCTGTTGCCTTATCAGTAAAAAACATAAGATTTTAAAAACGATTCTGTGAATTAAGTGAGAGCTACTAGGATAGGCCCAGATTCGCTCTTTTGCACTAGTGAACGTCCCCACTTGTGTGTATTTTTTTTTTAGAAAATTTGTTTTCTGGCTTCTTCACTACAGTGCAATATGTTGAGTATTACGTTGAGTGAAATCCTTAACATTAGGAAATAAAATGTTTACATGCTCTGTTAGGTATTTTAAATATACTTGGAGAAAGTAAGTTTTTTCCTCCTTCATGTTTTACATTTGATTGGATTCTAGCACCTGTAATAGACATTGCCATTTTGTATCTCAAGAGTTTGGTATCCCTTAGTTTAACATAATGTTTGTTCTTTCAACTCTCTTAATTTCACTGGCCACTATTCAGTATTTGAGTGTGTAGTTGGTGTCACATGGCATTTGCTAAACTATATGAAGTACTGCAATGGCAGACAAAGGTTCGCAGTGATTAAAAAAGAAAGAAAAAGTCAATAGTTTAGTCAAAATGTATGCATGTAGTTTCTAGAATGTGCATAGGTTATATTTTCAACAGGGCAAATCATCAGTGGATTTTTTTCTTTGTGATCTTGGCAAGAAGAAGGAAAACAAATTGTTTAATCGATTCTAGCCCATACTTCTTGCAGAAACCAGTCAGAAATATATATATATATAAATACATATATTTTTAGTGGTTTTTGCTCATGTGCTCACCAGACAGAGAGAGAGAGAGACAGAGTGACAGAAAGCGAGAAATCACCCCCCAGGGGGGATGGCCACACCACAATCCCTTCTCCTCTCAGGATCTTGGGAATGCACGCACACACGCCAGGTGTGTTTCAAGCCACCGGGTCCGGGACTCGAACCACGGTCGACTATGTGGGAGTCCAGCAACATAGCCATTACGCTAACTGCTGGCCCCCAATCAGAAATATTTTAAGAATTTTGTAAATTTGTCACTTTTAGACTGAGAGATGTTTGTTCCATATTGAGAAAAATTGAAGATAAAATAGAATGTTGTTTACATGTATGCATTTTTCAGTGTTCTGAAACAAGTATATTATTGCCCATAGAAGATTGATTTTAGTTTGTGGCCTCTTTTTAGAGGTTTAAATATTTAGGACAATGGAAAAATGATTATTGCATATGCTTTATTTTATTTGTTTTTTGTTAGATAAGCACCCACGGAAACACCATGAAAGATACTGATATCAAGAGACTGCTGTATACCCATCTTTTATGCATATTTTCAATTATCCTAAGTGTCTTCATTCCATCATTCTTCTTGGAGAACTTCTCAATATTGGAAACACACTTGACATGGCTGTGCATCTGTTCTGCTTTTGTAACTGCTGTCAACCTACTATTATATTTAGTAGTGAAACCAACTGCGTCCTCTAAAAAAAGTTCATTGTCACACAAGGTAAGGCTTATTTCTTGATAAGTGATTTTTTTGGAGAGAGCTACTGTTTCTTTTAATGGAAGAATAAAGTATTAGTCAAGTCCTCATTGGGTTATTTAGAGTGAGTAACGAGAGTGATTTTTTTTCCCCCTAATGAGTAGCTATTACTTGCCACAAGGCTGCCTACAATGTCTGATAGACCTTGCTGTGCTTTAGTTGTAGAGTTAGGATTTCTTCAGTTCATATGCATTGTGAGCCTGTATAATCATTGTTTTATGTCACCGTTAAAGATAAATACATTTGGCAATCAATCTGTAAGCTTTAATTTACAAGACACCAGTTGTTTTCCATTAAGTCTTCACTTACCACTACTTAGTACTATGTACTAACCACTCTGTCTAGTCATTTAAAACCCTTTTTCTGCCTTACGATTAGAGAACCTCAATGTTTGTTTTATAATTAGTTCTTTCCTTTAAGCTCCATGTCAAGTAAATTCCATGTGGTAATCTATGGATATCCAGGTCATTTTGAAAATGGGTAATATAATAAATAACATGAATGATTTGGGGAATTACTTAGTATTTCACTTTTTTGGTACATTTTCCCAGGAGTTTCGTTTTAAAATAAAAATAAATTAATTTCTGCCGATAGTTCATATTATCACATAAGGACTGTGTATTTTTTATATCCTAGCACTCTATCATCAATAAATATTTCATAAATATGATTAACAACATAGCACAACTTGTATATAGAAATGGGCTGGCTCTGTGGTCTGGTGGTTAAGGCAACTGGATCCCACATATTTCACTGCATGGTTTAAATCCTGGACCTAGTGGCTTGAAAAATACACCAGGCTGTGTGTGTGTGTGTGTGTGTGTGTGTGTGCACACGCGCACATGCCCAAAATCCCTAAAGGAGACAGAGATGGAGGAGAAGGGATCATGATGTGATTGTGCTCCGTAGGGGTGTCCCCGCTCCTACCCCACCATTCTCCCTCCATCCACTCTAGTGAGAGCATGCTCCCTCTAGCAAAAGATAAAATGAAGAAACAAAAACCCTATTTGTTGCAGGAGGTAATATTTGCATTTATGTTTTTGTACAGTTTTTAGACTCCTGTGTACGTGACTGGGCATGAGACATGTGATCTAAGTCAAAGAACACTCAATTATTTCACCCATTACGGGAACACATTGTATTTGTAGATAAGATGGAAGAATTCATTGTCCTATAGATGTTCTCTTGTGTCTTGAAATCTTTCTTCTTCTTTTTTTAGATAACCAGATTTTTGAAATGCTGTATCTACTTTCTTATGTCTTGTTTCTCCTTTCATATAATTTTTGTCCTATATGGAGCACCACTAATAGAGTAAGTTTGAAATTATTAACTTAAATTTATATGTTAAAAACACTCATTTACTGAATAGTGTGCTAACTCTATTGGCAATTAGAGAAAAATCATGGTATGTTTAATTAATGGATTAAATAAGGATATCAATATCATTGTCCTTCTTTACCATTCTTATTTATTTATTTATTTATTTATTTTGTAGAGAGCTTTTTTGCTATAGGGCATGTGTACTTGCAGGAGAGACAGAGAAAAACAGAGAGATAGAAAGCAAGAAATCGCCCCCCAGAAGGGATAGCCACACCACAATCCCTTCTCCTAAGATTTCCTCTTGGGATTTTGGGCATGCACACACACGTGCCCAGTGTTATTTTTAAGCCACCGGGTCTGGGACTCGAACTGCAGCCAACTACTTGGGAGTCCAGCAACATAACTATTATGCCATCTGCTGATACCACTATTCTTACTTATTTTTTACTTTTAATTTTTTTAATTATTTATTTTATTTTATTTATTAATTCATTTAGGTTTTTTTTTTTTTTTTAATTTGGCCAGAGAGAAACAGAGGGTGAGAGTGAGAGAGGAAGTGAGAAAGCAAGTCACCAGATTCAGGACTTGAAACTTAGTCGGCCATGTGGGAGTGTCCAGCGCCTTAACCACCATGCCACCTACTGGATAACAGAATAACTTAATTCATTAAATTCTTAAATGTTGGCAAGATGCGAGGAGAAATAAGAAACTATACCAATAAATGTGTGTTCTCTTACAACCTCTAAGGGAACTTACTATAATAATATGTATAAATTAGTTATAATTCACATGTCAGGTATTAATAAATGAAATTCTGAAACGCGTGTTTTCTTGAAGAAAGTCAATAGATTCCTGTAATTTAAAAAATTTTTATTTAATTATTTTCATTATTATTTTTTAATGTGCTACAGGTCATGTACACTCACCAGAGACAGAGAGAGAGGAAAAAAAAATGAGAACACAAGCTGCCAGGTCTAGGGGTTGAAGCTCAGTCAACCAAGTGGGAATCCAGTGCCTTAACCACCATTCTACCTGCTGGCCTCTAGATTAATGTATTTAAATACTTAATTAGCCAGTGTTTTTAGTTTAAAGATAAAATTTAACTCAACAGTTTTAAAAATGACCAGTTTTAAATTAGTAGAAACCAAATTCATGAATATTTTTTGTATGTCTATTATAGTTTAAGAGACTTCAATTTAATAATGATTAATTATCATGGAGAAGTGAGTGATTTTAGGTATACATGTATATATATGTATGTATGTATGTATGTACAGATGGTTATTGACGGTTGGACCTGTGATTTTTGGCTTTATGACAGCGGGAAACAATATGCATTCAATAGAAAACATACTTTGGGACCAGCCCTGTGGCCTAGTGGTTTAGTGAGTTGGATCCTACATGGCCAGCTGCACAGTTCAATCCTAGATTTGGTAGCCTGAGAAACATGCTGAGCATGTGTGCATGCATGCTCCAAACCCCAACAGCGTAGAGAAATGGAGAAGGGGTTGTGGTGTGACCACACGCGATTGAAGGTGCTCGCCCTCTCTGTCTCCATGTCTGCCTCTGGTGAATGCACACGCGCTCTGGTAAATTAAAAAAAAAAAAAGAAGTACTTTGAGTATCTTTACAACCATTGTGTTTTTCATTTTCAGTGTAATATTCAATAATTATGTGAGTTATTTAATACTTCATTATAAGTTAGGCTTTGTGTTAGATGATTTTGCCTAACTATAGGCTAATGTAAGTATTCTGAACTTCTTTAAGGTAAGATATGCTGAACTATGATATTTGTTAGGTTAGCTATTAAATGCATTTTTTACTTAATAATATTTTCAATTTGTATTGGCTTTATTGAGATGTAACCTCCTCATAAATCAAGGAACATTTGTACACATATATACATATATAACTATGTATAGTTTTTATATATGTGTGTGTATATACACACACAGAGTTTTATATTATATATATATATATACACACACACACACACACACACACACATTAAACTAGGAAGTTAGTCTTTTCTAAACAGGGGAGGGAAATGGGAAATAGTGGTTCCTGCCTCATCTATCTTAGAGTAGAACAAATGTACCTGGAACACTGGTTCCTGTGCTGGTCTTTGATCAAGCAGCAGCATCATTTTATTGAAAGGCAAGTTCTTAAGCTTCAGTCAGAAACTGTGGGGATATGGACCAGCAGATGGTGTAATGGTTAAGTCGCTGGTCTCCTATATAGCCCAAGAGGAGAATGGAAGAGAAGGGATTGTGGCGTGGCCACGTCCTTACCCCGTTCTGTCTCTAGCTTGTGAATGTGCCCTACACCAAAAATCTCTCTCAAAAAAAAAAAAAAAGAAAGAAAGAAAGAAAGAAAGGACAGAAAAAGAAACTGGGGGAGTAAGTCTCCCCAATTTTTATTTACCCAATTTTGTATATAATTCCAATATAAGTTAAAGTTGAATCAACTGGTTATAGAGAAAATTTGAGGATACTGAGGAAGAAAGATAATGGAATTTCCTGTAAAGGAGGTATCAGTATGGATCTTAGGTTGTTAACACTTTTGAAACCTATTGTTAAAGCCAGATATCTGTGTGATTTGTTTTTAAAGATTGCATT